GTAATCCTGTGGAGGAGCTTATCCCCTAAAACCCCATTTGTAAATCTATTTTAGCTTTGTTACACAGCACAGCCACAGTCTTCCATAGATTGATTAGGTACAGCGGTAGAATCCTATCAAATGGCCTGTTCTGATGATGATGCAAACTCTTTCAGGATTGCTAGTTGACTGGAACTAAAGATAAGACTTGACTGCAATCCCCCAATGTGCTCTTTACAAAACTAGTGTTAATTTTCATCAAAGTGCCAGGCTTATTTATAGTGGCAAGGTTGAAGGTTTACTATAAGAACTTTCGGTCCTTTCTATTAAAGTGTTTATAGGTATTCCTCTTGCCTTTTTTCAAGGTAATTATCAACTTCAGCAAATAAACTGAATCAGGGAGTGAATAATTGGCCCTATATATAAAAAAGAGTTTTTAAAAGTAACAAAACAGCTCAGTGCAGATGGACATAAACAAAATCTCTTTATTTCAACACTTTGGCTCAAATGCAGCATCAAAACTTAATCCTATTTGTTAGGAGAGGATATGGCTTTTGTAGCAAAAGTACACTGGAATCTTTAAATTAATCAGAACCCACATTGTAGTTTGTCCAAGCCAAAGTTAGTGCAGCTAGCTAGCTGTGACTGGTATTATAGGTGAGTAGTTTGTTCTTAAAATGCATAACAGGTAACACGTAAACTTACATGCAAGTTTTTAAAACATAACATTTCTAAGTGAAGCTTTTTAAAACAGGATTTTTAAAAAATTTAGGCTTGAACATGCAAATATGAATCTTGGTCAGTTTTAAATGTAATACTACATTAAAAAAAGATAAAAATAGTTTAATTTCTCAAAATAGCATTCAAATATATATGTATATGTATACACATGTATGAGTTTGTATACATACATATCATATAATTTATTCCCATTATAAGACAACAGACATGAAGTAAAAGTACAGTTTTGCTAATATAAAATCTATTCACTGCACATTTCTGTTTCCAGTATAGTTGACTAATATTTTGTAGACAGATATTAATCTAGCACTATAATGACAGATTTAATATTTTAAAGTCTCTAAATTTTTGCTGGGATATTTTAAATTCTAATGTCATTTAAATTTGACTCTGAAATGATGAAAATTACCTAAGTATTCTTAATTTTTAAATGATTTCACTACAGTTATAGAAAATGTCATTATTGAGCTAGGGAAAAGTTAAGATATTTTAAATTACTCAGTACTTCAAAGGGTAAAAATTTTCTTTAATGTCCTCTTTTATCCATTTTGTTAAAGTCCTATTTTTTTCAATATTAATGAAATCGTGATATTTGTAATTACTAATTAAAGCCTTTAAAGTGACTAGTCAAGTTCAGAAGGAATAATTAAGAAAATTATATGTGTTGTTAAAATTTATCTTTTCTTGGTTTAATTTTTTTTAATATAATTTTCAGTTTAATTCTATTTTTGAAAATGTGTTCATTTGTAAAGCTCTTAGCAAAATGTTTTGGAAGTAAATAATTATAAATTAAAGCATATAATCAGAATGATTTCTTGAGGTTGGAAAGGGAAAAATTAATATTCATTAAATTAGTAATCTTAATTATAAAATTTAGTTTCAAATCTATTTAGTTTCAAGTCTATTTAGGTTTCTTCTGAATTAATATTTCTAGAATTATACTTACCTGAAATTAGACTAGATGACTTTTTAAGATCTTTCCAACCTGGAGAGCTTATTAATTTACCTGCTGAATAAGACTGATTTAAGAACAAGAACCAGATTAAAAAATTTTCCAGCATTCCTGTCCTCAGTTGCATTTAAATCCAGAGAATAAAATTGTTACATATATAGAGCTGCTCTTCAGTTTTGCTGTTTATTATTTTTTAAATTCTTCTATTCAAAGAAACCCAAATAGTTTCTGTATTCATCTCCATGCTATAGAATATTTCATTTAAAAAATAAGAACGTAATGGTGATAGGTTATTTAATGTATTGTTCGATATTTTATATCAAATGTGGATAATTAACATATAGCATGTTTCATATAAATATGGATTTATGTGTTAGAGCTTATAATGAAAGAAATAGTGATAAATTGAGTAAAACATTCTAGCTTTTTGCTGCTTTTCTAACCTTTATTGCATGATGATGCATCTAATTTTTAATTTGTAAATACAAGATAGAATTCCCTCTAGCACCATTTGCTTTCATAAAGCTGCTGAGCAGTTTGCTGTCTTGAATAAATTTTGCTTTGGAGGGGGTCGGGGGGATTTGAACCAGCACATTCTTGTGTGGTTTGTGAAGATTCACATGGTAACCAGCGGTGTGCATTGTTAGGTTTATCTGAATAAGCACCAGCCATGTGAGTTTTAACATGATTGCCCAGGGCAATGGAGAGAGAAGAGAGAAACCCGAAAGGATTGCACTTCTCTCTGTTTTGGAAAGTGCATTTGCTGGGGGAGGGGGCTGCCGGAGTCAGTGGCCGTGGTCCTTTTTTTTTTTTTTTTTTTTTTTTTTTAAAGCTGGTGTCCTGTTTCCCTCTAGGTCCTCATTTGTTCTGCTATCTGCCTCATCATCTACTTCTTCTTTTCATTGTTTACCTTCCTAATGAGGGAGGCGGGGTAGACTGGGGGTTGATTGACAGCTACAAGCCCTTACAGTCTGGCCAGAGAGCAGTTGGCTTTGGTTTCAAAAGTGTTTTAAATGTTCGATTTGGTCCTGTTTTTATTAAATGAAACTGCTGCTCATCTTAAGGAAATCATCAGACCAGCGAAGATTAGGAAATGTATCGCTGGGGTCTAAAACCTTAAAAAAACGCATGCCATCCATAGAAAGAGCACTGCCCATCGGGTTTTCCAACCTTTAACATAGGGTTTCAAAAAGAAATATGTAATTTTTCCTTTGCAAAAGTGCTTTGATTTGAAACCACCCAGCAAACGCCTCCAAAAGAAAACTGGCTGTGATGAGATCGAGAGCTGCAGTGTAATATTGCAGAGCAAATTTATTTTTTACTTCAAAGAAAAATGCTAATTAGCCGATTCACTACTTTTAAAGTTATTGTGAAGCATATGGCGCCCAGTGTGAGATACATCCAACTGCTAAAATAGAGCGAAGAGGAAATTAGCGAAGAATGGGCTGTTTGGGGTGAGAGTGGGGGTGGGGGAGGAGGATAGGTTCTCAGGCAGATTCTCTAGCCTTTTCAGAATGATTTTATCGCCCAGCACTGTTTCCCGCCTCCTCATTTACCCACTTCCCCCACTATCAACCCCTGGGCCAAACTCTTCTGGGCCTCCAGCTTCCCTCCCCCAGTTTGGCTGGATACAGGTGCGCACCTCAGGCTAGCCACCGGCTCACACCTGGTTCTGAGCAGGTTCCAACCCTGCCACAGTCGTCTCCATTCGCAGGAAATATTTAGAAAGTAGAGTTTTAGCGAGGAAACCTTCACCACGACAGCCAAACTCACAGAAAACACTAGCTAGTGGCTCTATAATGTGGTTTGCCGAGAAATATAAGGAAACTGGAAAAGGCGGGAAGAGGAGGGCAGGGGGCCGGGTGTTCAGAGGCCCTGCCGGTGGGTAACTAGCCTCCCATCTTCTGCAGACTGGCAGAAGACCGAGGCCCAGAAGCGACGCGAGCAGCTTCTGCTAGATGAATTGGTGGCCCTGGTGAACAAGCGCGATGCGCTCGTCAGGGACCTGGACGCACAGGAGAAGCAGTGAGTGGGCAATGGGGTCCGGTCGAGGCTGGGCCACCTGCGTAGGGGCCGAGAAGTGTGCGGAAAGTTCGATCCAGAGGTCGCGGGAGGGCCGGGACAGCCTCCTGCTGGCCTGGTGCTCCCCATTCCCGTTGGGGATCCAAATACTGGGTGACGGAGGAGTGCTGCTCTGCCCTCCACGTAGAAAAATAATTTTGTTTCCTGTTTGTCCTGTTTCTCTGACATCCAGGGCCGAAGAAGAAGATGAGCATTTGGAGCGAACTCTGGAGCAAAACAAAGGCAAGATGGCCAAGAAAGAGGAGAAATGTGTTCTTCAGTAGCCATCAGATCAGAAAGAATCTCTCCCAACATTTTAGAGCCTTGGTTCCCAGACCAGAAAAAGTCAGACTCATTGTTGATTTAAAACTTTTAACATTTTGTTTGGCTGGATTGTCCTACTTTACCACCATCACCTTTTCCCTCCTTCCTTTCCAAATAATATACAGAACTCCAAAATAGCTTTGTTTAAGGATTTTTTTTGTGAGTTAACAATTTCCTTGAAATCCTGTGAAATAGATTTGCACAGACACCTTGTGAGTGATTGGTATTGGAGGTGCAAGAAACTGTTCAAAAAGAACAAAAACACTTCCCTTGTTATTTTCTCTCATTTTTTGATGGGAGGAAAATTTGAAACCTTCTTGTTGTTGTTGCTAATAGCATAATGACAGTGGGAGGGGGGTACAAGGGAATAAGAAAAATGTCATGTTTTTTTTTTCCAGTCCTGCCATATGTAACACTTACTCTGTTACCTAAATTTTATAGTTAGATCATATCCAATCTACTTATTAAACTGTGTTCTATTTACCAGTGGAGTTTTTCTGCGGTTGTTTTGCGTTTCACTGTAAGGATAATGTAGTTTCTCTCCTCTGCTTTCTTCAGAGGATGGTCCTTTAACTTAGCCAGAAACAAGCCCTGTGGTTTGAAGGTGAGCTGTGAGGATGGGACTAATTGATATGCACCAATTTACAAAGACAGTCTTATCATCCGCGAATACACCATCTTTTTCTCTGAATAATTATTTCTTACATCATGCTTGATTCCTACGTTTTGTTGGGTTTCAACAGTGGCTCACGAATGCTGTTAATATTTATTCTGTATTGATAAAAAAAAAAGTCTGTCTTGCTACTACAAGTAAATCCCCCATTTAATATTTTCTTCTTTAGCATAGCACTGTCATTTTTTTTGTGAAAATGGTTATGTTTATTTATTACAATACTGAGTCATATATAAATTTTCAATAAAAGCAGAAACTTTCTTACCTTAAACACGGCTGCTACTTTCTTGCAATGAAAACTTGACATTGGTTTGAGTGAAGTTTGTGTATCGGTAAGACTTTTCATGTGGAAAATGGTCCTCTGGAACATAGGGCAGGATACTGGGCTGCATTTGAAGTTGAGTAAGTTTACACCATCCCAGAGAGGGCCCTGCTGACACACGAATGTGAATTGAAAAGTAATTAGTCATATTCATAAGCAGTATAAACCAGCTCTCTTTTGTAAAGGGGTCATCTCTGCTAAAGATTTGAGGAAATTTGTGATTCCACACCAATGAAAAAATACTAATATCTTGCATTTCCACGTTGTTACTTTTAATTGTTATAGTTTTGAAGTCATATTAGGGAGAACTGTGTCTTCTAATAACCGGCAAGTCTGTAGGTACCGAAGTAAAAGGAAGAGGGTTATTGCTGGGGGGCGGGGAGAATGTGTGCAGGTATGTATGTATGAAATGAGGGAAATAGAACTTTTAACAAGAAGTTCTAGACTACAGAAAAAAAAACTGGCGATTCTCTCGTGGTTTCCTTCACTCCCCCATGGGGGTGTCCAAACAAAGAAGGCTTGTTCAACAAGTCCAGAAACTTAGAGAAAACAGTCCACTAGCATTTATACTTTAGCGTAGATCATATGTATGTACACACAAACAAATTTCGTTGCAAGTATGCAGCCACCTCCAATTGCCAGTCTTTCAAAATGATTAAAACACACACACACTTGATGTGGTAGAATTTCTTCATGATGAGAATTTAAGTTATTGAAAAGTTATTTTAAGTAAATGAAGTCGGTATTTGCCCTCTTCATTCGAGCTGGAGAGCCGAGAGAACTGTGAGAGCTGCTGCTCTCTGGGGAACGCTCTCAGAATCCCGTTCTAACCCCAGGAAAGCTCAGCAGATGGAAATCTCCCGCCCCTAGCAGCCTGGGGCTTGGGCGACCAACAGCACCCACCCAGTTTACGCAAGATTCGAGGAACCTTCACTCCCGAGGGGCCTCGCCGAAAAGCAGCTCCTTCACCCCAAAAGCTTCTCCCAATCGGCCAAGTGATAACCCTTCCCTCTCCCCGGATTGCTAGGATGGTCTGGGACCGCCGGGCGGCCCCTCTACCTGCCCCTCCAGCTTCAGTCCCGATCCTCTCGGGGTTTCAATTTGGGCTGCTCGGTGGCGCCCGAACGCCCCTCAGCGGCGGTGGAGCGTGGACCCCGGCGCCTGGCGGGGTCAGGCCCGCGGCAAGGGAGCTGCATCCGGACATCGCTGCGTGGTGCCCAGACGTTGGCTCCCGAGAGCGGGCACGGGCCCAGCACGCCCGGGGGACCCGGAAACTGAAAGCCCGCGCCGCGGGAAAAGAGGCTATGGGTCCGAGGGTCGCAGAGGAGCAGGGGCGTTGGCGGCGGGCTTGCTAGGGCAGTCTGCGGGCGGGTGCGGAACTTCCTTCCCTGGCCAGATCCCTCGGCCTCGGAGCCAAACCCCTCCCCCTGTCCAAAGTGTCCTCCAGAGCCTGGCCGGGCCTGGAGGTCACCTGGATGCTGGATCCGGGTCTCCAGGCCCAGCTCCCTCGCCCTTTCCCGGCCCGGGGGCCTTGAACTGGACGGCTTCACCTCCTCCAGTGGTGTCCCCACTTCCCCTCCCCGCGCTGCGGCCGATATTGGAACGGTCGTGGCTTCTGGCCCAGCGTCTCCCACCTGGACGTTTGCCTAGCTACGGCCGCCTCAATCCTCTGTGCCGCTTTCAAGAAACTTTCGCCCCAGTCTCTCTCCCTCTCTACTCTCCTCCCTCTCCCCCTCTCCTCTCGCTTTCTTTTCTTAATCCTGGGGTTTTATGGGCTGAGCATTAAGAAAATTCGCCTGCAATTTGGGCTTAGTTAAATACTCTCATTAGAAAAGAAAAAATAAAATAAAATCCGTGCTACTTGATACCTCCCGACTTCCCCGAGAATGGTGGCAGCATCTGGAACCGAGAGCGCCGGACTCCCGCGAGGCGTGCCCTGGGGACCGCGCCGGCACATTCCAGCGCGCACGGCTGTCCCACCTCGCTGCGCGGGACCCTGGTCGGGTGCTGAAGCTGCAGGCGAAACAGGGCCTGGTGAAGGGAGGAATGCGTAAGGTGGAGGAATGGGGCAAGGGCACGAGCCCCGGCACATAGCCGACGGGCCGGGACTAGGGCAGCGCCGGACTATAGACGCGGACGCCGGCGAAGCGCACCCCGGGACGTCCGCATATTATTTTCCCCAAAACTAGTGCGCCCCAACCGGCGCCTTTCCTCGGAACCCAAGGCGGGGGTATATTTCGTTGCTTTCTTTAAACTTCACCACAAATCACAGCGGCTCGGAGCCGCGGGCGGCTGACTGCGGGCCTGGCGGGCTACTCCTGGTAGGGGCCTGCGCAAGCCTAAGGTGTGTCCCCGCCTGGGTTAGCGCTGCGCTATGCGCTGTTTCTTTTCCTCTTAAAGCTTCTTTCTCACTCACTCTTTCCCTCTTTCTCTCTCTCATTTTTTCCCATTTCTCTCGTTCTTTTATTCAGCTTTCTCTCTTTATCTCCCTTTTGTGAATGGGCCGTGGTTTCTTTGTTCTGGAGAGAAGCGCCCGTGTCGCTGACTTTTGTGAACCAGAGAAGGATCTTGTAAAACCTCCTTTTCTCCTTCGTACGCCCCCACTCCCACTCCTCCTCCCCTGCCCCCTTGATTAGATGTTCCCTCATCGTAAAAAAAAAAAAAAAAAAAATGTAATTTCGTTGGTCTGGCGGCCACTTTCTTTGAACATTAGCTCGCTTTCAGCTCCAACTTCAATTAGAAGGAGTTGATTTTGAGAGATCAACAAAAGAACCGACCAAAGCCTTATTAAAGGTCCTAAGAAGATCTCCCGGGCCCTTTGAGAAGCAGTTAAGGAAACAGTGTGCCCTCCATCATATTCTGTTACCGTATTTTATTCGGACTCCAAAGGAAAGTGTCGCTTGGGGGAGGGGGAAGCACTTTGATGAGCGGCGGCCGCGGCCCCTTTTCACTCAGCGGGCTCCCCTTTCCTTCTCCTCCTTCTCGCCCAGCGCCCGGTCTGCTCTCGGCGCCCGACCCCGCGGCCCGGGCTGCGCGGGTGCTCCCCACTGCGATGCGCCTGGAGGCTCCTTGACTCGCCTTCACACTTACTCCTTTGCAAACTTTTTACTACTCCTGTCGGGGTGAGGGAGTAGGAGATTAGAAACAAGGGGTAGAAATTCCTCGAAAGGTAATAAAGTGCCTAATTTTCAGGAGGAGGTGCCATTTAAAAGATTCGCCTTACTCGGAGTTGGGACGAAAACACTTTTTTTGCACTTTGAAAAGTCCACCCAGGTAGACGCGTTTGGGAAGTTTGTTCGGCTAGGAAATGGGCTTCACATATACGAACAATCCGGGGAAATCGCCTCAAGGAGGCTCCTTACGCAGCATGTGGAAAAAAAGTTGAGGGCAGGGGTCTGTGGCCACATTTTTCATCTAAAAGTCCCTGTTAGAGGGAGACTAGGAAAGACAGAGTGTGAAAAAGAAAGTTTCCTAGCAAAATGTTTGAATTAAGAAATAGGGTGTGTGTGTGAGGGGAAGAGGACGCTGGGTTCCAATGTTTCAGAAGAAGCGCTTAAGACTTGTAAACACCCTTGGTGGGGACTGGGAACCCCGGGAGAGGCCGACGAGCAGGTAAGTGGCGGCGCCCTTCCAGTGGGTGCTCTTCTCAGGCGCGGGAGTCCCGAGGCGCCGAAGAGAGATCTGCGCGCCCGGAGCTGCTCCCGCGCTCTGCAAAGTAGCCTGTGCTGGCACGAGCCGCCCGCGGCGTCGGTCTCAGGTGGCGGCGCAGAGGAAGGAAACGTTGGGGCCCGCGGCGCCGGGAGAGGGGCAGACGCCCGGGCTCTTCTAGTCCGCCGCCCCCGAGTCCTGGCGCCCACTTCCGGGCGGCAGAGCCTGGTAGTGCCTCGGAGAGCGAAGGAACCGGTTCTCCAGCACCTCGCGCTCTCCGAGCCACTCCCTCCAGAGCGCCTAAAGCGCGAGAGAAGGGCCGGGGGGCCCAGGGCAGGCTTGGGGACCCGCGGTCCCCTCAGCGGCCAGGACTCCGGCTCTCCGCTCGCCTTCCTCGGCTAGCTCTGCGCCGCTTTTGCCAGCCGAGTTAGCGCGCGACCGGGGCGGGGCGGGCGGGCGGGGAAGGCGGGGAGTGGGGGGCGGGGGAGGGCGGGGGCGCGCGGAGGTAACCCCCGGCTCGCGCTGCCATTGCCCGGCTCCCTGTCACTCAGCCCGCGCGGGGCCCCCGATTGGCGGCCTAGCCCCGTTACGCACTCGCCTCGCGTTCACATACCCGGGGAGGGCAGTAGAAAGGTGATCAATCTTCATCAGGCTACATTTCCAATCACCTAAACAACCGAGCAAGACAAGCCACTCCGACAAGGTAAATCGCTTGATTTATTTAGTTTGCAAAGTGACTGTGCAGGACTTCCCAGTCCCCACTGCCTCCACGTTGTATCGGGAGTGCCGCGGCAACGCCGAGCCACCTCCCAACTCTGCCACTCGAATTACCCCCCTTGCGACCCCTCGGCGCGATTCCCGGTCAGGCAATGTCCTGAGAACGCGTGGGGCTTAGCAAACAAAGTGTCTGTGCAATAAAGTGAAACCCTTAGGGACACGCACAAAGCCACTGGAAAAAAAGATAGACGTGGGAGGAAAGAAGTTGAGAAAAGAAAGAAACCGGGGGTCCTAGACCAGCCGCCGGGGTAATTCCTGTGCCGCTCTGTTTTGCAGGTTGGCTGCCCGGCGGGTCTCTGTGAGGGATCCAGGTAGATGGTGAACGGCCCCGGCAGCTGAGGGCAGGTAAGGAGAAAGCCGCGGGGCCACCCGGGACTCCGGGAGCGCGTTGGTTACCCTTACCTCCCCCTCCTCAAATGGATCCTCGCTTCCCGGAGCCCCAGCAGGTGGGCGGGGCTGGGGGAGCGGCCTGACTCCCCTCTGGGTGCGCGGAGGACCCCGGGGCGCTGTCGCGGCCCGCCGCCCCCTCCCCCGCCTCCTCCGAAGTAACCGAGCTGAAGTGCTAAGTTTGGAGAAAGTCTTTGAAAACTCAGGCTGCAGCCTCGCAGAGCCGTCGCAGCTTTGAGTCCCATTTTCCTTTGGCCTAAGAGCCCTGGCTGCTTCCCTTCTCGTTCCCTCCCTACAAGCTGGACTCCTCCTCTGGCCTTGGGTCCGAGAGGACGGGGGCAGGAACGGGGCTGGGGGGAGCTTCTTTAACTCCAACTTCTCTCCCTAAACGTCCTAACCCGAGTCCCTGGCCTGCTTCACAGCGATCCCGCAAAGCGGGGTGTAGCGACGGCCCCCTAGAACCCCAGGCCCACTTTCCAGTGCCCCTCCCTGACCCTTGAGAGTGGCGCCTGGGTTCTCGGCAGCAGCGGGGGCAAGGCTTCGACCTCCCAGCTCGGGTCTGCGTGGGCTCTGCCGCTGAGGCCTAGTTCTCTGTTCTCAACAGTGTCCTGGGGCCTCGGGTTCAGCTACTAGGATGGCAGCATGCAACTTGCTGCCCTCTGGCTTCGCAAATCTCAGAGACCCTTTAAGGTGCTGGGCCCCAGCCTTCACCCCCTGCTGGGACCATGTGGTCAGAAGCCCAGACTGGGCAGAGAGAAGGACGGGTGCGCGCTGGCAACGAAGGGCGATGGCCGCAGCTGAGGCGCTCCTGACCTCAGGCCGCGTCTTGGGATCGCCCCCTCTACAGTGTTCCCTTCAGCGTCCTCTGGCCCTCTGCGGCCTGGGCCCGTTGCTGCGGTTGAAGTGTGGTGTGATTCCGCGTCAGCGATTTTTCAGTGGTTGGGCATAGAGAAGTTAGCTGGAATGGTTATTGTGGGCTCTGGGGCAGGGACGCAGCCCTGGACGCGTTAGAAGAAACCAAGTGTCTAGGTGCATAAGAGGTTGAGGTGCAGTTAGTCCTCCACATTGCCTCACCTTGGCCCTTCATAGTCTCTACCTTTTCAAAAACACTGAAACAAAACGAAACAACCCTGCATGCTCTGGGCGCCCTGCCCCGGGCACCAAGTGAACTTTTGTTTGTGCAACATGAAGCCGGCTTCTGCCGGACTCAGAATTTTGCCTGGACTTGGGAGGTTGTACATTCTGTGTTTCCAGCTCTACCTCCCAGCCTGGCCCTGCTTTTAACTTCTTACTCTATGGACTCCCTACCAGTATCTTTGGCCCATTCCGAGCCTAGAGCTAGAGGACCTAGAAAACTTTACTTTTCAAAGCAACTGTGGTTTCTGGGCTAAGTCCTTGTGGAGGCTAGTTGACCACCCTGCGGAGTTCTGTAACCTGCCTTCCCTGTCTATCCCCGGACAAGACTTGAAAGCCAAGTGCCTCCGACTGATGGTTTCCGTGTGTATCGTGTCTCCATAGGCCAGGCCCCCAGACGCATCAGAGCCTGAAGGACTGCGCAGTGGGAGCCCTGCACCGCTCCTGGCCCCGGGCCCCCTGGATCTGTCGGGGCGCCTCCACCCAGCTGTTAGCATGATGTCTTACCTCAAACAACCCCCATACGGCATGAATGGGCTGGGCCTGGCCGGGCCTGCCATGGACCTTCTGCACCCCTCCGTGGGCTATCCGGGTGAGCACCGGCCTTCCGGCCCCTGCCCAAGACTCTCAAATGTTGGGGACCCTCAGACTGTTGGGTTTGAGTGTAAGCTTTGTTGCCGAGCAGGCCCAGGGAGCCGATTGCCTAATCTGTTTACAGTACAGGGCCCACTGTCGGCGCACTGAGCAGACTCGTGGGCGCATGAGGTGGCCAGGGCTGAGAAAACGCCCAACGTGCGCCTTCCCGGCCGGGTCACCGACAACCTTTCTCCTGTTGTGGTCCCATCGCCAGCGCAGAGCGCATTTACCCGCGGATTTGCTAGTAAGGGGCGGCTGATGATTTTCCTTTTCTCCCAACATGGAATGAGTAATCTGGACACTCGTTAGGCCCTGACCGAAGGAGCCAAACTTTCCTTATGTGAAACGGCAGGTGGACTGAAAAAGGAAGATTCTTTCTCTCGAATTAAATTGTCCTCTAAATCAATGTCCTGCACCCATTTTTGCACTGCTGTAGAGGACGACTTGAGTCAAACCCCGGTTTCTTTTTTAGCTCCCACTCGTTTACACCATTTATTTTCTCTGAAAGTGTTTTTCATCTTTCCTACATGAAAGGTGCCTACATCTTTCTCACTCCCTGTCCCCCAGCCAGTGTGTGTGTGTGTGTGTGTGTGTGTATGTGTGTGTGTACAGGGGAGGGGGGAAAAACTTTTCTTACTTTTTCAACCTCTGGGAGGCAGGGAGAGACGCAGCCCTCGAATCTTGGAGACACTGGCTCCTAGTCGCACATAAGCACTTTCTCCCACCTGTGGCCTCTCAGGCTCGGCCGCCGGAGGGAGTTTCTTTTATTCCCAGTTCGGCTTCTCTTGAGAAGGCCGAGCTATGAACCTGCCAGGGGCTTCCCAGAGTTCACTATCCTTGGTCCGCGTGGCCACCAATGACCCGCGGCGCCCCCGCCTGTCCCCACAGCCACTCCGCGGAAGCAGCGGCGGGAGCGCACCACCTTCACGCGTTCACAGCTGGACGTGCTCGAGGCGCTCTTCGCCAAGACTCGCTACCCTGACATCTTCATGCGGGAGGAGGTGGCCCTCAAGATCAACCTGCCGGAGTCCAGAGTCCAGGTCCGCACTCCCCAGGCTCCAGGGTC